GATAATTTTGATGTCAAAGTGGAAAGTTGAAGGACCAAAATGGTATTAAACCTAATTTAAAGGATCAAATAAGTTACATCTAGTTACTATTATTCTCGATTAAGTAGTTTGAAACTTCTTCTTCTGATGTTTTCATTCCATCAAACTCTTCCTCTTCTTCATCATCCTCATCCACACATTCTTCTTCTATCAGATATGGCAACTGCATAGCCTCACTAATCACCACTAGTTCTCCCCCCTAAAATACTAGAGAAACATGATCATTTAAAATAGTAGAGGATTGCACCAATTGTGGCATAGGTGGATTATCATTTTGATAATAATCATTTACACCATTACTCAACAATGAAGTGTCAATTATTGCTCTTACCCTAATATTACATGCAACAAACCACCATTTTCTATGAGGATTTTGGGATGGATAACAGGCGTAAAACACTTGTTGAGCTTGATTTGCCAATATGAATGGTTCATTGTTTGTAATTTAAATCAAGGATTTATGTCAACTATACCAGATGTTGGATGAACCATGATGCCTTTGTTGATATCATACCACTCACAATTAAACAAAATCATTGATTGATGAACATATGAGTCAAAATACTAAAACTCAATAACTTCCTTCAAACTCCCATAATAATCTGACCCATTATGATTGAAAGTGATTCTCTTCACACAAACACCACTATTCATAGTCTTTTTATTTTATTCATATGCAGTAGTATGAAACCAGAATCCATTAACCCAATAACCATTATATACCCTCACATTACTGATTGGTCCAATTACTAAAGGCTAAAGACAAGGATCAACCTCGTATCTTCCACTACGCACCTACATTTCTTATAAAAATATTTAATATTTAACCCTAAATAATATAAAAACTGAGGTTTTAATAATAGAAATTATTAAAATGAATTGCTTACCATTGTCTTAAACCAAGGAATAAATTCAAGTTGCCATTTCATTTGAATTTAATTTAGTGATAGACCAGAACATACTTCAGAATCAAAAAGCTTACGTAAAGAAGTTAGAGTAAATAGTCTATACATACTATTAACCTAAAAAAAGTTCAAATTAGAACATACGCAATCCATGGATCAACTTCTTCACAATTAAGCAAAACATAAAGTTCTACTACATTTAATTCTTTCGATGACAATGCATGCCTACGCATTTCTTCACCTAGAGGTTGACCTTTTTTTTTAAAGATAGATAAACAATTATCCATACCATCATTCCTACCAACAATGTTTCTTGGCTGACAATTCAATCTTATCTTTATGTTGGAACCAAAATAATGCAAGCAAAAATAAGTAATTTTTGAAAGAATGTTAGACTCACCAATCAAAGCTTCAACATGATTTTTATTCAACACTTTCTTCTTAAGGTCATGCATTTTTCTATTAAACAAATAAATAAGAAAACTAATTAATAAGATTAAATTATTAAATATGTTCATGAATGTTATTGTGGTGCAAATGCATTAGAAGAAATGTACCTTTCAAAAGGATACATCCAACGGAATTGGATAGGTCCTCCAACTTTTGCTTCATAAGGTAGATGAATTGCCAAATGCTCCATCGAGTCAAAAGATGCTGGCGGAAATACTTTCTCTAACTTGCAAATAGTCTTAACAATTTTTCCCTCCCACATCTTCATGTTACTAACTTGAATAATCGAAGCAGTTAAAGCTCTAAAAAAATTACTAACTTCAGTTAAGGGACCCCAAATTTCTTCTATAAGGAGATCACAGAAAGCAATTGGCAAGAGACGTTGCATGAATACATGACAATCATGGCTTTTCATCCTAGACAATCGAAGTTCTTGCATGTTAACACATTGCGCTATGTTGGATGCGTATCCATTTGGGAATCTCAATTCCTTCAGCCACTAACAAACAAGAGCTCATTGCTCTTGAGTAAGAACATATGTAGCATTGGGTTTTATAGCCGTTCCATCCAATTGAGGCATCAATTCTAATTTAGATCTATTGCAATATAGTTGTAAATCCATTCTAGTATTTGTGTTATCCTTCATACAACCCTTGTCATCCATGACAATATTTTTAATGTTGTCAAAAAAATTATTCTCACAATGCATGATATCGAGATTATGACGAATCAATAAATCCTTCTAGTATGGCAATTCCCAAAATATGCTACATTTCACCCAATTATGAAAAACACCAAATTCTGCAATTGAATGTTTACGAAGTAGCTGACTAAAGACTATGTTAAGGAACTGATTAACCCTTTCCTTCATTAAACTACCATCTAGTCTTGGGGTGGGGCTTTTTTCAACTCTATTTACATAGAAATTTTCTTATCTCTACGAAATGGATGTTTAGGAGGTAGAAATTGACGATGACAATCAAAAAATGGTGTTTTCTTCCCATGTTTAAGTTGAAAAGCCTAACTGGTTTTCCATACAATAGGGGCATGACAACTTCCCATGTGTGTTCCATCCAGATAACATACCATAACCTGGATAATCACTTATAGTCTAGAGCAATGTAGCTTTGATGATAAAATTTTGTTGCCGAAAACTATCATAAGTTTCAATCCATTTATCTACAATTCATTAAGTTCATCAATTAATGGCCTAAGCAAGACATCAATTTTTTTCTCTGGACTTTTAGGTCTAGCAATTATCAGGGCAAGGAATACATGCTCTGATTTCATGCACAATTCAAGAGGAAGGTTGTACACTGTAAGAAAGACATACCAACAAGAGTAAGGTGTTGTAGAGCACCAAATGGATTGAAACCATCTGTGCAAAGCCCAAGTCTAACATTTCTAGTTCATCAACAAATGTTGGGTAGGTTTCATCAAAGTGTCCAAGCCTCACTATCTACAGGATGAATAACTTCATCCGCATCCTCACAGCAATTTAAATTCCATTTCATGTGCTCTGTTGTTTTCCTAGACATGTATAGTCGCTACAATTTAGGGGTAATTGAAAGTTACCACAAAGACTTTTTTGGAACATCTTTCTACCTCATAACAGCCATATTCCTTGGCTCATAACGAGATTCTCCACACACTAGACAAGAAGTTAAATTCTTACTTTACTCATCATAGTACAAGAAGCAATCATTAACACAAACATCAATTTTTTTGTACCCAAGTCCAAGCACATTTATCATTTTTTGGGCACTGTAGAAATCCTTTGGCACCTTTTTTTGGTCCTCTAGACTCAACAACTTTCAACTTGATGATAATGCCATCTCTCAATTAACAACACTCATATTATAAAGAGTTTTCATGTTGAGCATTTCTACTATCCATGAAAGTACTGTGACATCCTGTCCCCTGACACCTATATGAACTTCTACGACATGCAAAAGATCATAAAATTCTCTTGCCATACTATTAGGCTCCTCAGCCATTGACTCCTCATTGTATTCAGACTGTGGACCCATTGCATCAACTACCATTTTACGGTACATTGAATCTGCCTCATTTCTAACAAACTCCATGTTAGAAGATTCCCCTTCAGAGTTTCTTACTGTATTATTGGATATCTCTCCATGAACATACCATGTATAATAGTTATTCATAAACCCATGCTTATACAAATGCATAGAGACAACCTTCGGGTTCCCCCGTTTCCTACATTTACATTTTGAACAAGGACACTTATCTCTAATTTTGCTTTAGGTTTAGAGAATGCAAATCTCACAAAAAAATTGTACCCTCGCTTTAAATTCATTGGTAACAAAACCACCATCATCTACACAACGATCTATCCAACTACGGTCCTCCATCATTTAATTACCTAATTTGAATTTCAATTTGACAATGTTTATTATTATATCAATTGAGAACCATACATGTTAATAACCACACATGTTAATCTTAATCTTAATAATTTTAAATTAAATTTCTTTATGTGTATAAATTCAATATATACAAATACTACTAAAGTTCAACAATCATACATATATTAATATCAATGTAAATAATTTCAAATAAATAGCTTTATAAATATATATATTAAATATAAATAGTACCTTAGTTTAATTATCATACCGATCTCAATCTCAATAATTTGAAATAAATAATTTGATATATAGAAATTCAATCTAAATATCATTTTAATTCAATAATAATGCACATCCCTATCTCCATATCAATCTCAAACTCAATAATTTGAAATAAATAACAAATTTGGATAATAGAAATTCAATATAAATATCACTCTATTTCAATAACTATAGATATCTAGACCTCAATCACAATATCAATCTCAACCTTAATCTCAAATTCAATAATCCAAAATCCCTAACTTTGTATATACAAATTTCTTAAACACAATTCTTTAACTAGCATACATATCTCAATCTCAAAAACATGAAAGAAATAATTACAATTCGCTGACAATTCATGCAATAATAGCAATAATCTACACTAATTCACAAGTGAGACAGTATAATTTTGTATAAAAAAACCACAAAAACCCCAATGACCTTTGGCAGTGGGGACGGTGATGTTGTGGTGGCAGTGAAGGTGGTAAAGGCTAGATTTGGACCTACAAAAAAGGAAAATTGGGGTCTTATAAACCCAAATCCAAGGAAAAAACAAGGAAAACCAAAAAAAAAAAAAAAAAAAAAAAAAGAAGAAGAAAAAGAAAAAAGAAAAGAAACAAAGAAACTTCAATGGGGTGTTGCAATTTGCAAGGAAGCAACAACAAGTAACTCCTCCAGCTGGTGCGGTGGCTTGGAGGCAATGAAGGTTGGACCAAAATGCACAAATCTACAAGAAAAAATGCAAATGCCAACTGTAAATCCAAGGAAAAAGAGGGTTAAATCTCCAAATCTCCAATTTGGTCCCTAAATTATTGTACAAACC